TGAGTTCAGGGCCTCACATGACTTATTCACTCTTAACAATCCCTAGTACAGTAGAGGATATAGGGAAAAAATCATTCTCTATATACTTCTTGAATAAGTAAATATACTTCCAATTGTTTTCTCTTTCCTTTCTCACCCTTTCATCCCTATATCCTTTCTTTCCTTTGGTTTTCCAAATGCCACTACTTTAGGTGGTAAAGCATATTTACTGATATCCTTATCTTTATTCTTTGGCCCCCTACACTGTGATATCTGGGTAATGCTTTTATAATTTTCCATACCCATTCTTTTGCTGAGAAAATGAAACATATTCTCCAAATGCATTCAGGAAGATAAGGAGTATTATGGGTAGAGATATGTGGCCAAGGTTCTCTGTATTTAGTAATCTGTGTTGGAAGTTGCTTCATTTAATCTAAAGACTGTATTTGGACAGCCTTGTTACCAGAGTTTTTAGAGACAGAACAGGGGCCATGACAACTCTAATAAGCAAAGCTTGAGTACTTGTCCATAATAGATCAAGGCAGGTAATGCTATTTCTTCAATGTGGCTGTATCAGAAAGAGGCAAAAAGAGTTTGAGCAAACCTCTTAAGTGCCAAGTCTATCTCCAGTGCCCTGAAATGAGATCAGAGTTTAAATGAAGAACCAAAGATGTCATATCTAAGCAGTCCCAGGCAAAAGTGTGGTCCTGTTCACCACTGACTCATCATTATCTGGGCTTCAGCCTCAACCTGTAAGGTGATCAACTGTTTGAGATTTCTTTTAGGAAAACAAGTTCTCCTCTGGTTGACATCCTTTCCTTTTCCAAGCTTGAGATTCCTGGGGAAATTCCCATTTCTTTGTGGGGGCATTGTTTCAATAGTTTCATATTCAGATTGTGAGACACACTTTGGAATATATTCATGTCTTCCAGGCTAGTTACAACATAGAGAACAGGGCTATTACTTGTATTTGTCTACTGACACGACTGTATAATTTGTGGGCATGAATAAGTCTGATACGCCTAGGCTATAGACAGACTATGAGGCAGGACAGCAAAAGGGGAAAATGAGGACAGCAGGAATCTACATCACACATGGCTTTGTAGCTACCCAATCTCTAGGTTGACGATCAATCATTTATCCTATAGTTTCAATACTTATAGTAGTAGATGGTCCCTTCTTCCTAGTCATTCAGCTTTTCCTGGCATTATCCTCACACAATTGAACAGGGCTAACAAAATGTACCAAATCTTTACCTCTGTATTATAGAATCTTCTCCTTTAGGGATTATCATTGTCCCTTGAAGTCCAAACATTTTGCTCCTGAGTTAAGATGGAGAGGAACATTTCCTGTGGCTTGGGGGTCATCAAATCATTAGCCTAACCTACATTTCCATTTCCATACAACTAGAACCTCTTTTATTAGTCATACAAGATGATGTATGGTCCATCAAAAATCTGCCAAACAGAAGCCAATCAGAGGGACAGCAAGATGATTGACTACTACCCAATAAATAAAACATTCTTTTCACTCTTCTTCCATTCTGGGACCTTGACTTCAATAGTCTCAGAGGTGTTTGTATTTCTCCATACATAATGCATTTATTTCTCTGTTTGTCTTCCTATCAAGAAGACATAGTCATACGAGTTTGACCTTTGTGCCCCACAGCCATTTGGAAGAACAGCACCTCTAACTGAACAGACATCTGGTAATCACTAGACTGTACCAAACCCCTCTTACCAGCTATATTCTGAGAAAAGAGACATATCTATTGAAAAAAATATAGGTACTGATGTCAGTATTTAACTGGTTCTGTTTTCTGCCTTTTGCTGCAAGAGTTAGAGATCTTCAAAGAGGGTTGAGGTGAACTTGAAAGTCTTTACCAATGATAGCTATGCATTTGCTATAATGTAGTAGTAAATACTATTCATGTAGCCAATCATAAAAAAGATGATATGGAAGAAATGCAATCATAAAAGGTCCATATATTAAACACTTTACCAGTGTTAGGGATTACCTCCAAAATTCACTTATCTCTTCCAGGTGGCTTTTACATATTAGAGAAATAAGGTAGGACAGGGACCATGTAGTTAAAAAAAAAAATCAAAAGAGAAATTTTAGTATATATATATCTGCTCCTTCAGTTTTCATACAACTGAGACTCTGCCAAGGACTTTAAGTTTTTGAAATGAGTCCAAGGCATGGGATCAGTGAGTTAAAGCATGAATGTTATCAGAGCACACAGAAACCAAAATAGCAGGATCACCGCTATGCATGGTCTAGAGCAGGATCCAGGCTTGTCACCACTACATAGCAAAACACTGTTTCAAAAAGGCACACGGGCGCACACACACGCATGCACGCACGCACCTTGAAAGAAAAAGCTACTGTGTGATACATATCACATAGTATTTGTGTATACTATGAGTATATATCCATATATGTAGTATGTATATATTGTATTATATAGGATATCTTTAGCATGCAAGAGCGTTTAATGAACGCTGTCAAGTAGAAGTGTCTTCAGACTGCTCAGGAGTCATTCAAGTGTCCAAAAGTGTTACCAGTCTCCTCTTACAAACATTGTCTTGTTTGGTCTGTTCCATTCTGTCAGCCTGCTCATGTATGGCAAGTCAAAGTGAATTAAAACATATAACCGAAGTTAGTATACATGTTTTTCAGAGCATTTGACACAAGCATGAACTGTTAGTTCAGAGGAAAGATGCTGAAATGTATTTGCAAACCCAAAACATTCTGACTTGGTAACACTTTCCTTTAGTTTTGAATTTCACTAGGTATCGTCTATGAGCAACTGATAAGGATAAACTGATGCACGAAAAAGACTCATTTTGCCCAAAGACGCTTTCCACATCACTCCAGACAATAAATGAGGTTTAACTCATCTCACTGTGTCCTCCATGGCCTGCATTAGTCAGAAAGCGGCTGTTGATTATTCTGAAATACGATCAGCCATGAGATCACAGGGGAACTTTAATCTGAGCTGCCTTCCTACTCTGATTCAATAAAGGCCCATTTATTGTCCCTGAAAAATAATACAAAAAGTTTGCTACATTCTGTGCTTGCTTAGTTTAAGACTTGGGTTAATAATTTATGTTTTTATGTTCGTCCTTTGGTTGTTCAAAAAAAAAAAGCACTGAATTCATTATTTTCATCAAGGAATTGTGTATGTGCAGTGGCCTTCATGTATAGCAAGAAGTCACTGACCCGCTCTCAGGAAAACTTGCTTTGTGAAGTGTTTTTCCAAAAATGGAGATGCGTTTGCAAAAATTGCTTCCTTCTTTCTCTTGGTGTCTCTTGTTAGCAGCAGAATGCATTTTGTACAATGGCCGGAGGAGTTAAGATGCAGAGACCAAGGTCATGGACCTCAACATAGCCATCTTGCAGGCACAGGGACGAAACCTACAGCCTTTGCCTCATTAGCTCCCTGTCCCCTACTGAGTTAACCAGCCATAGGCAATTGGAGAACTCTGAAGGTTAATTCTTTCTGCCCATAGGTAGAGTTACAGCTCAGTGGACTAAGCCCTTAAAATGTTAACCCTCCAAGCAAGAAATTTTAAGTGGTAAAAATGGCAGGTAGTACAGAGAGGTTAAATGACTTGAAAATGAGTTTAAAGCAGACTTGCTACTCCCCTCCCCATCTCTGCCCCCAACAGTTGCATAAAATAGCCTAAAACTTTCAAAAAGGTTATAACTTAAAACATGTTTTGACCACGTGCTTGCCGGGAACTATTAAAATAAATAGCACAAATAGGGCAATTAAATATAGATACTAACAGCTTCAAACCGCAGAAGAGGAAATGAAGCAGCCTTGCTTTTCATCTAAAAACACCCAGGTGATTTTATTTGGAAGGAGAGCAAATGCTTGTTTTGAAAAGCTGCATATAGAGAAGACAAACAAAACTGACAAATAATATTATTTCTGCCCACAGGGGAGTTCTGCCCTAAGCCAGTGAGTCAGTGTGCTGTAATGTGCCTGATTACGCACCTACAGACCAGTTAGATAGGCTACAACTAAGGACACAACCAAGCAGCCACCATCTGGGTAGCATGCCTCTACTGGACACCGTGGAGGTCTCAGATCACCACCCTTCAATGGGAACCCTTATTTCTTCTCCAGACTACTTTATCTTGATGGCACAGCGTACTGTGAGAACACAGCCAAGTCTTTCTGGTGACATCTCACATAGGAAATTATCAGTGGCAGAACTGAGTTGAATGCAGTAGTCAGTGTGCTCAGGGTGAAAGAAAAATGAACCTCAGAGTGAGCTTGTCTGCTTGCAAAGAGAAAACCAGACAGTCATTTGCATAATTATAGATGAAGATAAAACCAATAGGTCTTTGTCCATTAGCACCGAGGATTCTGGTAAGAATTTAGAACTTTAAAAAGAGCATGTTACGTGTTGACCCATTCAAAAAAACAATTCGGGGTTAAAACCAGTGATTCAAAAATTACTGAGACTTATTAAGCATTGTTACATGTGCTCTTTGCCAGAAATTTTGAATGTTTCTTTACTCTTTTCAATAGGTAGTTGAAAAGCAAAAATACAATAACTAGGAAGGGCAGAACAAGAATTTCAACTAGTCAGGCTGCCCATTGTCATGGTCACACTAAACTGTTATTAGAAACAATGAAATAGCAGTCCTGGTGTTCAGTTCACAGGATATCTTGAGGTCGACCAGTACAAGCAACTTCTTTGAAGGAGAACGCATAAAACATTTGCAAGGAATAATATAATGACATTACCCAGTGTCATATAGGTGACAATGGGACAAATCATTGTGAACAAAAGGTGTTTTACCTATTCTGGTTGCTTCTGGGATACAAATATGAAACTGTGTAAAGAATTATGGTGCTGAAATATCCTCTTAGAGATCAAGAATGTGTCAGGATATAAAGCAGTGTTGCAAATATTCATATGATGTAACCATTCCCAACAAGTGTTGTTGAAAAGTACATTCTCACATATAAATACTAAACTTTTATCTAATTTAATTTGCAGAACTTCTTTCAAATAGTTAGCAACCTTCTAGATGAAGAAAACAAGGAGAAATGGGAAGATGCGCAGCAGGTAAGGCGGAGATGATTTTAGAATTTATGAGGAAGTCGGCGAGATAGTCTTTAAAATACATGAAAAGTCAATAGTTTGATTCTCCAAGAGTATAAAAGGATTTTGGAAATCACTCAGGATGACAAAACAGTAATTTTACAGAAATCAAGTCATCTTTTAAAATATCAGCCCATGGGAGGAATTTTGTGTGAATGTACCAGAAAAGGAAAGGGGGTGGGAGAGCACATTTAGCTAATCTGCAACTTCAAGAAACTAATATATGGCAGTTTTGTTCTTTAGTAATAGACTTCTTTCTGGTTTATAGACAATGGGAAAACAAGACAATCTAACGGCATATATCTCAGTAGAAGTGATGTGCTATTTGCTAATGAGAAAATCAATTGCAAGGAAGTCATGCTTCACAGAATCTGCCTCATGTATACAGATGTGAATTCTTATTTAGAAAAGAGTTGTGAACGTAAACTCTCTTTCATAATCTTGTTCAGACCTTTCTTTCTGTCGTACTTTATCAATTATCAAGCTTCTTTAGTGACTTGGGCTTTTGAAATTGCCTCGTTCTGCCATCCTCCCCTAACTGTAAGACTTTTTTCTAAAACAGAAAAAAGTGCTTTCCAGATAAGCACGAGGGAAGTCTAGTGTTCAAATTTCCATGGGCATTTAATGGAACTGAGCTTGAAACTTCTTTAAGTTTTCTACTTGACTCTGATTAAAAAATCCCAAGATCAAGGCACTCTTAAAAAACAGAGTGAGCGTGTACAGAAGTTCAGGTTAAACCATCCACTCCCTTTCTCTTTTATAATCACAGTTGAGGCCTTCAGAAGTGAAGCATGCCCTTTATTCCAGTTATGATAGGAAATCCACAAATAGCACAGCATGGCCAGCCTCATTATCAGGTACTAACTCTGTGCTTCTGCCCAATGCAGGGGGCGGGGGAAATCAACTTTTAGTTTAAAACATTGGCCTATCCTTTTCTGCTCCTATGAATTATACACTTGTCCTTGGCCTTTGTCTAGAGGGCAGCGTTGTTCCCTACCTCTAAGGAAGTGGTGTCGTCAACCAGAATACAGCTGTTGTAGCAGAGCATATCTTTCTAGAAAGCTAGAGACTATTAATTATGGATATATTTAGAATGAATGTATGATATTCTATTTAAAACAAGGCTGCAATTCATCACATGGTGTTCTTAGGAGAGGTCAGAACTTGAGCAAATAATAAATGGTGTCAGGCATTCTCATCCATGGAAAAATCATGAATCCATGATCTGTTTAGTTGTGGTTTGAGATTAATTCTATTCTCATTTTTAAAATATATTTTTCAATTCAAATGATCCTTAATGATGCTTTAAAAATGACTATTTGAAATTGTAAATGAGGCTATTTTGTAGCTTTTACTGAAAAAAAATGTTTATCATAATTACAGGCACATGGTAAGCATGTGTGGCACAAAAGGTGACTTATTAAAAAAAAAAGAGGGGTTAAAAATCTACCAAAATAATCCCCCTGATCTCTCTTTATCTTAGAGAAATAGACCTAAAAAAATTAACCCTAAAAATAGATCTTTATGTGAATTAGAAAACTAAATGAGTAACTCTGATATCAGAATCATGATAATAGCCTGTACATTTCTGAAAAATACAGCCAGCCAGAGCCCACTGGTTATCTATCAACCCCAGTTAAAAAGATTCCAACTGTATTTAAATAAAGACCCCTTACTGAAAATCGAGCCTACTGAAGTGAAAAAAAAATGTGATTTATAACAATATACCACACCCATACATAAATACAGAGAGAGAGAGAGAGAGAGAGAGAGAGAGAGAGAGAGAGAGAGAGAGAGAGAGAGAGACTGAGGCAGGTGTTAACAGTAGATTTGTCATGTAATTTTTTTCTAAACTTCATATTAGAAAGTCCACTTTCATGTCCCTGGCTCAGGTGGGTGCAAATGACATCTACTCAATCAAATCCAGCCAATGTCTATTATGTAAACAACATTGTTTATTACCTGCTACCAGTGGCTGTTCTGCAGCAAGGAGAGAAATAACTTGTTTCACTAGAGTCCCCATGATCTGGAATGTATAAAGTACTTACCCTTAGGCCCTTATCAAAAAAGCTTGCCAGCCCCTGTTCTGTAATATTTGATGGCTATTGGAAAATAATAATTAAAAACAAGACCCTCTGCCAACATGAAAAGTCATTCAACAAAGATGGAAGACAATGTTGAGGTTAGCACTGAGCAAGCGTGAAGTCAGAGGTCACACATGTTACAAGCAGCCACAGAGACTGGAGCTCCTGCACCCTTGGGAGAGGCATAAGGTACAGCACCACATATGTGTGTCCATGCTAAACAGTAGCTGGTCCTGCAGCAGGGACCTTCACAGGCTTTTTTGTCATACATGCATCATCATAAAATCCCTCGGTAACTGGGCCATCTATCTTCTTGTTAATTGGCTCTCTCCAAAGGAAAATAAGCCTCTTATATCCTTTCAAATGGAGCCAGTTTTGAAGCTTGAAGCCCAAGTTTATGTGGCCATTGATTTAGGTCCCATGCTCTCAAAAGACGCTGAGGGACAGAAACACCATCTTCCTTGATGTTTTCATTTCAAAGAGAGAAATTACTGGATCTTTAAGATGGCAGGAAGCTTTTTTTCAGTTTAAAAAGACTCACAAATATTTCAAAGAGACTGAGTGAGCCTTCCCATTACTAGATTTCTAAAGTAAATACTTTAAGAAAAATGAAAGTAAAGGAGATGGAGATGTTGTTTCTAAGAGTGAAAAATTAAGACTCTTATTTCTAATTTGCATTCATCCCTATACCAAACAACACCCACAACCTTACCCATGAAAATCAACAGGGCACAGTAGAGTTAGGAAGCTTTGGAGCCCAGAGGAACTTTATTCATGCTTGTCTATGGGGTGATGACTTTTCAGAATTCCCATTTAGTAACTGAGCATACAGGTGAGAAAAAAGATGGACCTCCTAAATATTTCTAGTGTTAAATATTTCAGTTTTCTGTGGAATATATGTATATGCAGATGGATAGATGATTTTTGTACATATGCGGTATTTGATTTTTAGATGCAACAGCTATAGCCCCCTGCAAAAATACACATACAGACTTATAGCCTGCCCTGTTGATCCCTTTTCTTCCTAATCCATTCCCTCACAGCTCTTGCCTTATGCTATCCAGCCAATCAGATCTTTTCCTCTCCCACTCTGGCATTTATAAATAAAGTAACTGGAACACAAACCACTTAATTTTTCATGTTCAAAAGCTGCAGTGATTGCCGGGTGGTAGTGGCACATGCCTTTAATCCCAGCACTTGGGAGGCAGAGTCAGGAGGATCTTTGTGAGTTTGAGGCCAGCCTGGGCTATAGAGCAAGATCCAGAACAGGCTCCAAAACTACACAGAGAAACCCTGTCTCGTGGGGAAAAAAAACTGCAGTGATGAAGATGGTTACACATGATAAAATGCCTATGTGTTCTTAGATGTCTTTGCTGTTACATACGGTATTAGCTTTTGACAGGTTATGGTATCTCTGAGAAATCAGATCCTTTTGTGTGTACCATAGTATTGGCTAATATACTCAAAGCATGGAAGTAAACTGACTTGCTCATAGATGCATAGGTAACTGGGTATATAGGTACAGAAGCAGATAGGTGACAGATGAGTGAATGGATCCTGCATGGTTACTAGTAGACTGACATAATGCTTTTAGCTACATTGCTAGCCTCCTTGAGATTCTGTTTTTGGCCTACAATAAGTATAATATTCTCCCATATGTTTGTTTCTTTCATGTGTACATGTAAATTATTTATAATCCTGTAATTGTTGCTAATTTGTTCATACAATTACTAATTCAATTATTAGAAGTAAATGTTTCTCACAAGTTATTGATCATACAGTGGATTAACTGTTTTTAAATATCTTCATGATAGCAGTAATACTTGTATTTTTCTTCCCATATTCTCCATATAGATATTAAGCTAAAATGCTGAGTCCAGTTTTAGTGTTTTATTATTTAAGCGAGGGAGTTTATTGAAAATAAAATTATGTTATTTGTGTGTAGACAATCTACTAGACATTTTACATTTTTTTTGAGCTTCTTGAGAGATTAATTAGTATATCATGTCACTTCCTAGGCTCTTGCTGCATGACACCTGGTATCAGAATCAACTGTTAATTTAAAAGCTAACAGATGACTCCAGTTCAGACATTAGAGAACAGAACTCATTTGTGGTTTTCTATGTCGAATATCTTACTTTCTAATTCTGTAGTCCATTATATGGACTTTTCGTCAAGTCTAACTTGCACTTATTTTTCTAGATTTACCCAGGCTCAATAGAGTTAATGCAGGTGATTGAAGATTTTATACACATTGTTGGAATGGGGATGATGGACTTTCAAAATTCGTACCTAATGACTGGAAATGTAGGTAAGAAATAGGAGTAATCCTCAAAACTTTCTTGAAATTAAATGCTACAGTTTGCACCACACATTTTCAAGTATAATGTTTTTGTTCATGTCCTTAAGTGTATGTGAAGAAATACATTGGGGAAATTTAATGGCTGTGATTTAGGTGGACCAAGCACCACATACATCAAGTGTGTACCCCTGTTTAAATATGTACTATTACATGACTTTCCTCAGGGAGAGATAAGCAATCATCTCTTCACCCAAGGTTAGGGCACTAACTACAGAACAAAATAATATCATTTCACCCAAATCTAACTTGGGGAAAAATGTGTCTTCCTGGATCTATTTCTAGGAGCCTGGATAGGGGATTGCTTACAAAATCATGGGTAATCCAAAATCTGCTGCATCAACCTATCCCTGCATAGATGACAACATATGAAAGCAGTTTGCCTGAGCTTCCTACCAAAACTGAAGGCAATCCACTCAAAAGTCTCCTCCTTCTCCCCACTTAATGAAGATCACCTGAAGGGTGGGAGGGAGTGGGGGAATGGGTCTCGAGTCTTGTAACTTTCTTAGCTTCCTGAGTCTTGTAAATTTCTTGAGTTTCCTGAGTCTTGTAAGTTATATTAGCTGCCTAAATGATTTGATCTCCTTTCTTCCTCCTTCCCTTCTCATCCTCCCCCCCCCACTCCTCTCTCCTCCCTCCATGAGGGAATGTTTTAATGTGACACAAATCCCTACTTAAAATTTCTTCCCCTGGCTCTTACAAGGTTTCTGTTCCCTCCTCCATGATGTTCTCTGAAATATGAAGGGGGTGATTTTGATGTCTAATGGTTTTTCCTTCCATTTTGGGTCAGCATGAAACCACTAGGCCACAGCAATGGTCATTTAATCTCAACCTCTTAGATAGTTGGTTGCCCATAGTAACCACTGCCCACTGAAAAAGAGTAGGTTTCCCACCAAAGGGAAGGGGCTTCTGAATCATTTCCAACTTTATTTCTCTCTGTTCTAAACCCAAATTAAAGTGCCTGTAGCAATAAGAACCTACAGTATAGCCGGGCGGTGGTGGCGCATGCCTTTAATCCCAGCACTCAGGAGGCAGAGGCAGGCAGACCTCTGTGAATGCAAGGCCAGCCTGGGCTACAGAGTGAGCTCCAGGAAAGGTGCAAATCTACACAGAGAAACCCTGTCTCGAAAAACCAAAAAAAAAAAAAAACAAAAACAAACAAACAAACAAAAAAACCAAAAAACAAGAATGAAGAACTTACAGTGCAACCAACATTCGTCTCAATAGCCTTCATGGCTTCTGGGGCTTCAGAGGAGGTATGATATTGCTAGGGGTGGGGTCTTTCCCCCAGGAATCTCATGGCTCCTATGAGTGGCATTTTCCAAAAACAGTGTGTCTTTTTTCAGACTCTTCGGTTTTTGTCTTTACTGTTGTCCTAAGCTATTCGAAAATTTGTATAACGCTCAAAGGTTAGCATTATATAATGAAATGATTTATAGAGGGTGGACAGGATTTCAGATTGACCACTGTCATTTTGAAAAAATGTCAATGGGTTTGGGGATTTGGAAGTAAGAAGGTTAAAAAAAAAAGATTCTAGATCCAATGAAACATCACTTACATTAACTGTTTTATCAGAAGAACAATGTTAGTTACAGTGGTGTAGATGATCTGGACCAGTATCCCTTTAAAACAAAAAAATTTGTAAAGATATTAAAAAGACAAAAAGACAATGGATCCTATCAAAGTTGCTCAAAAGTGAATGTGATTTTACTTTTGTCAAAAAGATTTTTATTGAGCTGGAGTTCCCAAGTAGAAAATATACTTAAGACAAATGTTTTAAAGGGACATTTTAGCTGCCTTATGAGGCCAACAGATAGTTTACCGCCATGGTGCAATGCCTAGAGTCTCTTAGACTCCAAGATACTGGTCCAGATGTGGGAGGAACAAGCTAGGTCATAACTTTGCTCCCTCTTAGTTATGAGGTATGCCAAGCAGTATGAGCCAGCCCTGCCATGACCATCATGGGTACAAAGCTATGTCATAGCCACACAGTTGTGCCCCAGAATGAGAAGGCTTAAGGGTTGTTAGTGGAAAGTGACTATGAATCATGGAGGCCTAGATGGAATGAGGTCCTCAAAATTTTTCATCTCCTCCTGAGTGCTTTGGTTCCTTATAAACTCAGTTTATATGCCAGTCTAAATCATCCAGATCTGTTAGAGACTCTTCTACCTTACATAAAGATCAGCCCCCATCATGATATTAAGAAAAGCCACTGAAGTATCAAGCAAGTCTCAAGGGCCCTGATGAATTAATTTCTCTATTCTCCTAAGACTGCATTTCTATCAGGCCAGGTGAGCTGGGCATTGAACACCCCCTGTCAAACGAACATTTCCCTCACTAATATTTTTTCCTGTTATTATCCAGTCCCTAGTACTCTTGGTGACCTCAGCTGGCGATAGCTAACTGTCCCTAATGGCTTTTATGAGCTAGTCTCTCAGGGACTAATTTTCCCCATGCTGCCTTTGATTATTCAGCCTTTGTCTCAGGGAGGCAGGAGGAGTTAGTTGAATTATTCAGTTTCTCTACATCATGGCACTCAGACTGATCCCATCTGCAGCCATGTCCCACAACCACATGAGCCAAACTTTGAAACCGTTCATTTCTTGTTCAAAAGCCTTTCACAATCTGAGCAATTATCCTGACTTCCTACACTGGATTGTTAGTAAGGTCCATGTCTGTTCATTAGACCATGAATTTTCCCTTTCTGTATTAAAGGTCAGACTTGAGAAATACCACTATTATCTCCATCTCTGAGTCTTCCCAAGGTTCTATGTGTAGGGATCCCAAGAAGGACCCTTTAGTACAGATATAACCTGTACTTTTTTTTTACTCTTACTTATAGCTGGCTATAGGAAACAGCAAGCCAACACTTCCATATCATCCTCTGTTTTCTATTTTTCTTGCTTCTGAATCAGAGACTAGTACAGAAAATAGTGTCTCCGTGTGTGCTTACCACTTGTGCTTCCTTCCTTGTGTGCACAAATTCTTTCTAGGCAGAAACATGAGCCTAAGTTGCAAATGTTTTCTATCACCAGAGGAGTGGCTGTGCAATTGTTACCACCACCTGCTGATAATCCCATCTCCTATGTGGTATCTCCAGGGATCATAATTCCAATTATAGGTCATTTGGAGGATTTCCGTGTCATCACATGAAAACCACAATACCACATAGAACAAGATAGCCCCCATTCCCCCATGGGATCTCCTCATCCCAGGATGCTCTACTATTAGATAGCTCCGTATATGCCCATTGAATGTAATACCTTAGCCACGGGCACATACCTGTCACTCCAGCAAGGAGACGTATACCCCATATCCCACGGGGAAAGGGAACCATTTTGGAATGGTCCCTGAGCATTTCAGTCTCGGGTACAGGCTTTATCACCTGGTTCAGGAGCCGTGCAACTGTTCTTTCCGAACACAGCTTTGATTCTGTGAGCAAGGGTTCAGACAGTAGTTGTGTTATACAGCTTTTCCCAAAGACATGTTAAGAAGGTCTAGTGAACTGAGATGATGCACCAAGGACGGGCTTAAAAAGTGTTCCATGGGAGCACAGCTGGGTGAATCAGTGTGTTTACAGGGCTTACTTACAAGAATGTGGGTGAGCAGTTATTCGGTTATTCAGAGGGTCGTCAGAGGCAGCCTCATGACTGAGAAGCCCATCCCATTGTGGATAAAACTCATGAAAGGCACATTCCTGGATCTCTACCCACCCTGCAGGCACCTCCACGGAAGAACTTGCCTTCCTCCTGCAGCAACTGTCCGCTGCATATATAACCTTATGCAGAGGCTTCCGAGAATCATAACTTTCTGAATATCCTGAGTCTTAGAAGTTTGTGAGCTTCTCTAGCCTTGTAGGTTTCTTTGTCATCCTGAGTCTATAATAGTCCTCTTCTATCCAGGAGTGAATATTTCAGTATAAATGAAGCAGCTAATACATACTTATATAGGTACATACACACACACACACACACACACACACACATACATACATGTTTCCCTCTGCATGTACTTGTATAGAGTATCCATAGGTCTACTGTGTGTTTCTCTACATATTTCTCTAAAGGTTAATATATGCATATTTTTACTTTTGCTAAGTGTTCCTTGCTATCTATCAAATACAATATGGAATATTATACATCAGTGATTTTGAAAAAAAATGAAGCTTCCCTTTCTTCCATGAATTGCTCATCGACTGTTGAGTTACTTCCTCTCTAAGTATTCTGAGCATGAGTGAGAGTTTTGTGGAACATTTCAGAATGTGTCTAGGGGACACGTGGGTATGCTAGTGCCGTGATTTTCTGAAACACCTTCCAGGGCACAATGGATTGCTCAGATTTCTAGAGTGGATTCTAAAATGATAAAGATACACAAAACAACAGGTTTATTTCTTTTAGTTAAGGTTACAGTAGCATTTCATTATAGTCTATAGAGGAATAAAACCCACACAATGCTTTCTACTGAGCCAACAGTAATTGTATTATGCAAATGGCATGTTTCTCTTTGCAGATGAAAATTGGTTAAGAACAAAGAAATTGTCTTCTTAATTATTACACAAATTGATTTCATGAAAATTTACAGATTTATTACTAACTTAAAGCTTCCTGTCTTATTTTTTTGTGATTCAGAAAGATTTTTTTTTATTTGCCATGCTACAATTATAATCACATAAAAACAATGAAGCTCTGGGTAATATGGGGTTATTACTATTACCAATCTCAACATTTGTCTGTGGTGTTTGAGGCCTGTCTGCTTGATATAAGGAAGTTTCAAAGATAAATAATAAAATATATTATCAGGTCAATATCAGTCATATTTTGAGAATGTATTTTAAAATTACTATAAAGGAATCAAAGACAATTTCAGAGTCAAATATGTTTAAATTTTGGCGTAACATCTCAGAAAAATAACATATCAAATTACTTATAGTATTATTATTGTTAGCTACAAAG